GATGATGAAACAACTTTTGAAAAGTGAAAGCTGCTATTTTCCATATATCAAATTATAAACTGGACTATTTTCCCTAAATTGAATTTGACATTAGATAGACAACCAAAATATATAATATAGTTTATTAGATGTTGTGCAGAAACTACTGCAGTTCACATGCATGGATTTAATTATGAAGTGTCAACTACCCCATTGTGGATTATGCTTCAGCATAATCACTGAAGTTGAAACGGGAGGAAAGAATATAAAGACTACAAAGAGAAATCATCAAAATGTCAGCATGAAAATGTATAGTATATCAATCATCATGTGCAAATCTTCAACTGGTAGTAAGTTATAATAGTAAAAAAACCCTGTAACTACCAGAAAAAGTTGTGATGGTCCATAAATGTTTGATTACATATTTGTTGAATGCTATCACTTACTTGCTATAGTAAGGAATGTCATATAAGTTATATTACAATATCCATAAATTAATTTGAAAAATTGCACATTCTTTAAAAACAATCAAGGGAGGAGTAAATAGATACAAAGGTCTTGATGCAAAAAAAGTGTTCAGTTTGAACAGCACCAGGGAAAAATGTACTGTTTACATAAAGGGTGGGGCAAAAGTAGGTTTACAGTTGTTCATATGGAAAATAATACAATAATTAATAAATAACAATACAAGAATAAACTGTTACACATATTCACAACTATAAACCTGCTTCCCCCCTCTCTGTATTGAATGAATTATCCACTAATCAACCATGTTACCAATATAGTGGCTCAGTAATAAAACATGCCCTGGTGGTGTATTAATCTAAATATTTATCTCCTTACTAACATACATCTTTCTATCTAGATTTTTTTTTCCCTCTAGGTTATCAAACTGTTGACACATATACTCATTTCAAAGCTGCACTTGGTGCCATAAACTTTTGAAGTTCCCCTCCAGCATGCAAACCGGAGGAAGGTAATGATATACAACAGAACATTAGTGAGCATTAATATTTGTTTTGCATGCTCCTCAGTTTGGGATGTTAGAAAATCTTAATTACATTGACTGTAAAACACAGCAGACCATTTCCCAGGGAGATATTGTCAATTAACTTCAACCGAGGCACATGCTCTGCAACTTCAGAGCTCTAAACAGCCTACTAGGTGCTTACACACATTGGAAATCAGAGCTCTGGCCCTAAAAACATTCTGTGAAACTCTCACAGATAAACCAAAATAATGCGAAACACAAAGCTGCTGCCTTTAACTGATTACTTAAAAAGCCACAGTATTAGAATAGAAACATGGTGCAAACTTAGTCAAAAACTGCCTTTTCTATTAATATTGTTTCAAATATATTTCTGCAGTAAACATGCACATCATTAAGATTAATTGGTACATCTTGTTTGACTTATGGGAAAAATTTTATAATAATATATACAATATAGCTATCAGATTTGAACTCTAACCCAAACTAGAAAAGACTAACATAATAGTGAATAATACATTGGCATTTTCTTTAACACAATTTGCTTTCATTCATTACCAGAACTACTAAAAATTAGCAGTCAGCCAAAGGTAAATTTGCACAATTTTCTCTTGAGAAAAGCAGAAAACTATAGAGTATAAAAATAACTCAAGAATCACACAATTCCAAATTACCTAAATTACTGATAACTAAATTTCTCCATGTTTCTAAGTTCTTGGTATAAATGGTTCATTTATCAACTGAGTGTTAAATTTAAAATAATATCACACCAATTTAGAATTTTCTAAAATATGACACCTTACACTATACTTGCATACTATTAAGACAGTTGCTTACAAAGTATAAAATGTCTATTGACATTAGAGGCCATTGTTAACATATTTTCTTCAACTAGTTTTTACAACCTAATTGAATTGGGTTCTGGGTTCCAAGTAAAGCCTTGAATACAGTTGGTAGATTAAACTGTCTTTTTTGATACTAGTGAAACTCCAATTATAAAATGAATTTTAGTTTATATTTAATAGCACTTTGTTTTTGAACTTCTTTTAATTTGAATTTCATTAATTTTTCTGCTAAGTGTGCTTAACTCCATCATTTATGCATATTATTTCCTACATATTGATTTAAAATCATTTTAAAGTCCTAAATGGTACTCTGGTTGCAGTTTTATGAAACAAATAAAGCATGCAATAGCAGTTTAAATTTTAACAGCTTATATAGCCTAATACATTTCTGCACAAAGTTGGTAATGCTGAGCATTTATTAGCTTATTTTTCAGTATGAACATGAAATACTTTCCTATATTTGGACAAAAATGTCACATTATTGTGGCTTTCTGATTGCCACTTGGATAATGGCATAAACTTTTTTTCCTTAAAGTAATTGGAATAGATTTTGCAGTGGCACAATAAAGAGCAGTCTTCCAGCTATACAAAGTTTAGTCTAGAGACTGTACTTTAACCATATATATTTTTTTAAATTTGCAGGTTTAAGTAAATGAAATATATAAAAAGTTATGTCATCAAATGACTTCTGCTTTTAATTACTGTACTTTTAGATATATTTAATATATTTTATCTAGTTTAACAATCACAAAATTTATAGTTATAAGGAAATATCTTCAACACCTCACTTAGATACTAAATTTTATAGATAATATGTAAGTTTTCTCTTAATAACCACAAAGTTAAATTGATAAGGAAGCTATCTTCATCTCTTCATCTGTTTGGTTACTAAATGTTCATACCGTGTTTCCCCAAAAATAAGACATCCTCCGAAAATAAGACCTAGTGCATGGAAAGATAAGACATCCCCTGAAAATAAGACCTAGCGCAACTTTGGGAGAAAAAATTAATATAAGACACTCTTATTTTCGGGGAAACAGGATAGCTGGCAAGAATAGCTAGCAGACTCATTCAAAATTGCCATTTCCCCCCTCTACCAAGGGCATTCTTTTTCTCAGGAAAGGATCACTTCAACTTTTCTGAGTCAAAAGCCCTGGTCTCTTCATACTGCCAAAAAACCTCTTCTGACTCTAAGGTTGATCCCACACTATGCCTCAGACTTGAGTTTCTCTAACTCTTATAGAAATGATTCTCAAGAATCTTGATTTAGATCAAGATTACACCTTTACATGTATGTTAATATTACTCTAACGTCTTTCTTATTCCTTGCTAGAAAAACTGCCACAATTTAGCTAACCCAAATTGCCTTTCCCTGGTAACGCACCCTGAAGACTCCGTCTAATTTGTCATTAAGTAGTTTCAAAATTTCTAATGAGTGACTGGTTCTAAGGCATATTTCCACAATGATTCTATTATTCATTTGCTACCTTGTCCCAAGTTAACAGAGTAAAAATGCCATTTCTTATGAGTATAACAGTAATCCTTATCTCAATTATGTTGATATTTGTGCTTGACTTACTACAGTACAACCCTCACAGCTTTTAAGAACTTACCCTTCACTTGGACTTTAAACAAAAGGCAACTTTTGTTTGTAAACTGGGAAATCATATCGATTTATATAGTACACTTCTATTACCATGAAAAGATTATTGAGTTCCACTGAAATTTGGCATTAATGATGCCAGTTTAGCATATTAACAAAATTTAAAATGTTTCTGTTCTTTGCTAATTCTAAATCAGAAGGTTAAGATTTCAGTTTCAGGTTTAAAACCTCAAATATTAGAAAGCATCAAGGAACCAGTAGAGCTGAAAGTTTGCAAAACGCACTTGTAAACTTTAAAATGTCACATTTTAGAATCAGGAGAAAAACCTGGATATGAGTATTCCTGGCCCCTCCCTGAGAAAATCTTAATCTACTTCAATGATTAATAAAATCCCAAGATACAAAATGGAACTGTACTTCCAGGTCCAGCCAGAAACAAGGCTAAGATTTGTACAGCAAAATAATTTAGACGAAAAACAAGACAACGTTGTATACCGTGATGGGGCTGACATGCAAAACTGATGCCTCTTTCCCAGGCAGAGACAAACCTGAACAAGGGCCCCCAGCTTTTCTATAATATTTTAACTCTCCAAAAATCTCACCTGTGAGCAGATCCTTGAGTCGCTAGGACTTTTCCAGACACCAGCATAGCTGGCTGCCAGGAAGAAGTGAAGCTGGCTAAGACCTGTTTCTGGAGTACCAACAAAAGGAAAGCCACAGGGGATTGTCCAGGTAAGAAGTCCTAAGGCCGCACAAGTTAGTCACGCGGGGTGGGACTGGAAAATCTTGCCCTATCTTCTTTATCACAAAACAGACCCTGCCCTCCGTCCTCCATCCACGCACCCAATAAATACACTTCCCCAGAATCTTCCAAACCAAAGAAGCCTGGGACGCGAGCAGCCTCCAGGAACCTCCAAATTCCTGGTGAAACCTGACCTCTCGTGAAGCCTCCCGGAAGAAGAAAAGATCAAATGAGACCGGCTCAGCGGGGTCTTCCCCAGGGTGGCCCCCCGGAGTTAACGTATTTATTTTCACGTTGCAACTGCTGATTGCTTTACATAGACATTTCATGCTGTAGCTCTGCATGGAGCTGAGGACAAAAGTAACATTTTCATTAATGTAATTATTATCATTATTCTTTAACAAAGCTATTAAATAACCTGTACAAAGCCGGGCCAGAACCTAAAAAACCAAACGAACAAAAAATAACCCAACCCAGCACTATTTCAACTCTCCCAAGGTTCCTCTGCTTCAATTCAGCAACGTTTCCTATACACAGGTCCGCTCAGGGCACATCCCTCCAAACGGTAGGTCTCCCAGACGGTGGTGGGAATGGTTTGAGCTCCAAACCTCCCTTTGGGGCGCAGAGCCCTCCGCCCCACCTCCCCTGCTGCTCCTGGGCGCAGGGGTCCCTGTCCGCCTGCCGGGCCAGGGATCAGGAGGCAGACAGCAGGGAGGGGCAAGTGCCTGTGTTGGGACTCCCCTCGGCCAGCTGCCCACAGGCCCCAGGACCTCCCCTTCACTCCACATAGAGGTGCTGGGGAGCGCGAGGCGGTGGCAAGGCCTCGCCTGCCCCCGGCTGCGCTCACAGATCCCGCGGGTCCTCCCGCTTGACGCCGGCCTCCGCCGCCCGGAGCTTCTTGTTCTGGTGCGTCTTCACGTGCTTGGCGAGGTGGTCGCTGCGCATGAAGCGCTTGCCGCACTCGGGGCAGGCGAAGCGCTTCTCGCCCGTGTGGGTCCGCAGGTGCCGCTGCAGCTCGTCCGAGCGCGTGAAGCTCTTGCCGCAGAAGAGCCAGTTGCACACGAAGGGCCGCTCGCCCGTGTGCCAGCGCAGGTGCGCCTTCAGGTGCGACGTCTTGCCGTACACCTTGCCGCAGCCCGGCACGTGGCACACGTGCTGCTTCTTCCTGCCGGGCTCCGGCTCGGGCGCGCCGCCCGCCGCCTGGCAGTTGGGGCAGCGGCAGCGGCGGCACCTCCTGGCCGCGGCCGCCAGGGGGGCCTTGGCCTGCAGCAGCGCGGCGATCTGGCTCTGGTACTGCGCGAAGTCCGACGGGCCCAGCACCAGGCCCCGCTGGAGGGCGGCGGCGGCGGCTGCGGCGGCCGCGGCGGCGGGGAAGCGGGGCGCGTGGGGCCCGCCGGCACAGGCTCCGGACAGGCCGCCCCCCGGGACCCCGGCGGCGCCCGGCGCGGCGCCCGCCTGCGGGATGCTCCACCATGGGAGGTCGTCGGGGGCCGGGTTGGGGGACAGCTGCCGGCACGTGGGCGGCGGCGGCGGCGGGGGCAGCAGGTTGGAGTAGCCGGGCGGCAGCGCGGCCTGGGCGGCGTAGGGGGGCACGTAGGCGGGCGCGCAGCTGGCGGGCAGCGCCGCCATGCTGGAGGGCAGCATCTTGACGGGTGAGAACTCGTAAGGGTACGAGGGGTCGGCCGGCGGGGTGAGCGGCAGCTCGTGCGCCGCCGCCGCCCCGAAGGACGACGGCTGCAGGTGCGTCTTCTGCGGCGGCGTCAGCCCCAGGCTGGGGTGCGGGGGCGGCAGCGCGCCCGGCGAGTGCGCCGGCATGTCGGAGGCCCACGGGTGGAAGAGCCGGGAGGGCGAGCCCAGCGCCGGGTCGTAGGGCACCTGCAGGAAGTCCGGGGCCGCCGCGGCGCCCGGCGGCTGGCCAAGGCGGCTACAGGTGGCGGCGAGCAGCGCCAGGGGGGAGTGCGTGCCCAGGTCCGGGGAGGCGCTGGGGGTGCGGTCCTGCATGGGCGGCGGCGGCCGCCGGGGAGGGCGGAGAACAGACACAAAAAGGTTAGCGCTCTGAGCGCGGGCTCCGGGCCCGCCCGCCACCCCCTCGCCCGCTGTTATCCTGCCGCCCCTCCCCGGCCCGCCGCCCCTCCCCCGCCCCCCGCGCGCACCCACCGGGCCCGGGAAACTTTGGGTGCTGCGCTACCTGCACGCGGGGCGCACGGGGGCTCCTGTGAGATCACTGTGCTTGGCCACCCAGGCTCAGAGGAGCCAGGCGCGGAATGGGAGGGGAGAGGGATCCGATCCCCCGACTCCCGGTGCTGCGGTCAGAAGGGGCTTGGAGACACCCACAAGCAGGACTGCCCCCCTGACTCCCTCCCTCTCATCTTTTAAGCTGTTTCCACGCGACTCCCGGGCTCCTCCCCCGCCCCCGCCCCTGGCTGAAATCAGCCGGGGGTAGGGGTGGAGGGGATGGACCACCTGGGTCAGCGAAGGCCTAGTTCTCAGCCAGAGGCACCGCGGGACCACCCCGGGGGTCGCGCGTCCCACCCCCCCAAAAAGGCCACCTCCTGGCACCAAGCTTTGGTGCTAAGTTGGCGTGGGCACCCCGCTAAGTCTGACTCCAGGGACAGCCGCGGAGCACGGCTCTTTTTGAGACTCGGGGTACGCAGAGCACCTAGAGACATCGAGACCCGATCCTTCCTTCCCACCTTGCCCCCGGCCCCCTCCGAGCCCGGCCCTGACCTGGAGGAAGGCCTGCAGCGAGTCGCTCCGGAGGACGGCCACCGCGGCCATGGCTACCGCTGGCCGGCGGCGGGCTTCGGAGCGGGGCGCAGCGGAGGCATGGAGATCCCGAGGCCGGCCGGCGGCGCCCCTCGCCCCTGGCCCCTCGCGGCGCCGCCCCGCGCACGGGGCCCTCGCTGCCCGCGCCCCCGGCCGCACCCCGCGCGCTCGCCCAGCGCGGAGTCTGAGCGCTTCAGGATCACCTCCAAGAATTTGATAAGGACTTTGCCGGGCCGCCAGCCAGTCAGAGGGAAGATTTATGGCTTTGAAGTTCGCCGCCACCCAATCATCAAAGAATAGCGGCTCTTTCAGAAGCGAAAGCAAATCCTTTGAATCCACAAAGCTCCTATGGTGTGTTTGTTGGTCTGGATAAAAGAACTGATTATTAGTGGGGGGATGGGGAGGGAGGAGATAAAGGCGGGACAATTAATGAAGTAATCACTATGTGGGAAATGTATATACACAAATAATTGGATTTTCCTGATCAAAGGGGGCCTTGCCGCCCGGAGACCCGCGCTTGGTGGCTGGATACTCTCTATCCTCTCTTCCCCCACACTTTCTTGCAATTAAAGATTTGCACCCAGGCAGCGCCCAAAGTGGCAAAGTGTCTTTGTTATCTCCGGAGAGATCTGCCCTCGTCTTCCCGGCTCGGACTTTGAGACTCTCGGAGATGAGGGCCATTCTCCCCTCCCCGGTGCTTACACACTTCCCGCCGGAGTCGTGCACGCACCCCGCGGGCCGAGGGAATTCCCGGGGCGGGGCGCGGGCCTTCCCTCGCCCCGCCCGCCGCGTGCCCCCTGCCCGCCTCGGCGAGCGGCGGGCGGTGACCGGGGCGGGCGGGGCGGGGCGGGGCGGGGCGGCCGCCCAGAACCACAGTGGGTGGCGCGCACACTTCGGGGCCGCCCGCCTGACCAGTTCCTGGGGCCCTCTGGAGAGGATCCTATGGCGATTTGGAAGTTTTCTAGGGCCACAACTTTGCAGATAGTCTGGGAAAACACCCGAGCTGGGCGGGACACCCAGAGCACTCCAGAATGTACACCCGAAGGAAGGAAGAAATGCTGTTTCCTAGCCCTTCTCTCTCCAGGCCCGTAGCCCTGCACCCCGCCGTGGGAGGGGACTGATCGCCCTTAGCCGCCCCCAAAAGCCCCCAACGGGGCTGGCAATCTCCTCCCCCCCCCCCCCCCACGGCCTGGCCCTGCTCTGGGAGGGCGCGCTCTCAGAGCCACACAGACCCACCCGGGGACACTCCTCGGAAAAGTGAGGCTTGGCCGAGGAAGCCTTTTGTTGAACAAACCATAACATTAGGCACCAGGACAAATAAAGAGTCCTCTAATCGGAAAGAAAAGTCCATCAAGACGGCTGTTCTCACTACCTTTGCAAAGAAGAGGAAGTTTTTCAGGAGAGGGACATGCTTGGCCCGGGCCAGGGAAATGCTCACTAGTATGCACCCCCACCCCCACCCTCGCTATCCCTCCACGCCCAGCCGAGCAGGGAAGTCCGCCACCTGCCTCCCTCCCTCCGGCCGGCCGAGAGTGCAAGGCAGAGCCTGCGGGGCTGTAAGAACACCTGGATCTCCTCTCTTGGGGAGTTGGGGGGAGGGGTGTGTGTGAGGAAGAGGCGGGCGAGGAGCTGCGGGGTCTCCACAGCACTAGAAGGATTAGGGGCCGCTAATGGCTTCTGAGGCGTGGAGCCGGGGCTGCTGGACCTCCTGGCCTGGCAGACCCAGACCCGTGCCGGCCTCTCCCTCTGCAGAACGGGGTGCTCTCCCCGGTCCAGGGCGGTGCAGGGATCTTCCGAGTCCTCTCGGGTACTGCCCCGCGGCGGGACTGATGTGAGAAGACAGATAGGGTGGCTGATTCAGAGTCTGGGCTGTGGTACACTGGTGCCCTCTGCATTTCCCAAGGGGCCGGGACACTGCGCCACCAGACCCACTTTCCCCCACGTCCAGGGCCCATCAGCGAAAAGAGACGTCTTGCTTGAGACACATGGGCAGAGAGTGGCCCCAATACCGAACGCTTTGCACTTCCGGTCCTTGCACGCCCCCTCATCTCTCCAACCAGGTGTCACCCCGGGAACTCTGAGCAGTGACTACACAGCTCGGTGAGGAGGTCTGGGTCCTGATGATGAGGTCTGGGTTCTCTGGGAGAGGGGAAGGGAAGGGTCTTAGTGCTTAGATCTGAGGCCGGGCAAACCTACCCCTTTCCACAAGTTGAGTCTCCTCAAAGCCTCGGATCTGTAGGAGCACTTTCCCGATACAAGTCAGAGGCCAGGGAGCCCCGTGGTGCACAGCCCAGCCAGCACCAGTCCACACTGGGCAAGCAAGTGGTCTAGTCCCTTAGCATGTGTCCTTCAGAGATCGTTTGAGCTCTTAGACACCCCCTTTCCCTGGGAGGCTGGGCCAAGCAGACTGGAAGGCATTCGCACTTGCCGAATCTGTTCCTATTGTGACAAAAAGGCAAGAAAGGCCAGTCCACACACTCTTGGTTGTGTTAGGAGAGGACTTTTTCTCTGAGATGCCTCCACTTAGCCAGTTACACTTCCAACCAGTGTTTTGTGGTTAAGAGCTCGGACTCTGAAAATCTGACCCGGAGATGTCCACTTTCCAGTTGGTAACTTTGATAAGCAAGTTCCTCAGCCTTTTTGTGCTTTATTTTCCCAGTGTGTAAAATGCTCACCTGCACAGTTCTTGTAGGCTCAAAAGATGACTTGATATATGCAAAGACTTTAGGGCAGTGCTGGGACAACGCGCAGCAGGCTCTGAGTTGAGTGTTGGAAATCCTTGCTCTTCACCTCCTGGGATTCCAGCCCTCCCAGGCGCCAGCTGAAGTCTGCAGAGACTTTTGCAAACTGCTGTTTAGCCTCCCTCCCTTTGCCTGTTGTGCTCCTGAAAAACTTACTCTTAATGAAGTAATGTTCCGCAGCGATCATAAAAAAGTGCAACGCTGGGAGATCAAAGTACGACATTTATTTTAGAAATTTGTTGGAATCACCAAGAGATACAGGTATCAGGGCCAAATGTCAGTGGTGGTACACAAATCCCCGAGCGCCGGGAAGAGCGTGTGGCAGCTCTGCAATAATGCAAAAAGACATCAAAGACCCAGCGCGCTGCAAAAGTGCGCAGTGGGGCGAGAGGGAGCCGGGGAGGGCCCAGCGCGCTCCGGATGGCGAGGGGCGGCGGGGGCTGCGGGGACTGCCGGGGCTGCGGTCAGTTCAAAGAGCTGTCTGCTGGGGTGCGAGTTCACAGGAGAGAAGATTTGATGGGCTTTCTATTGTTGGTGGGTGTTTGTGTACGGGAGGACCCGGGAACTCCTCTGAGGTCCTCCAAGAAATGAAGCTGACAAATCTTTCTTTTAATTATATATATATATATAGTATCAGGTCGGCACATAGGGCGCAAACTCTAACCGGGGCGCCTCGGGGAGGTTGTATAGCAGCTGCCCATGCTGAGGAGCCGCACTCCGCTGCCCTCCAAGCAGCAGGCTTCTGAGGTGGGCCGGCTGGATGCCACCTGCAAGAGGCAGGTAGGTGACTCCGCGGAGGCATAGCGGGACGGGTGGATGAGCTCTGCGCGCTCTGGCATCCACTCCAGAGAGAAGAGTGTCCGCCGAGAACTTCCGGTTACTAGTTGGAGACCGAGCCTGGTATCTGGCCTCAGGCATTTCCTTGCAGCAACCAAGGAATCATGCCTCTGGAATCAATCCAGAAAACCAGCTCCAGTTGATTCTTCCCTTACCCTCCCCCCCCCCCCCCATTTATTTAGGTCATTTCAACTAATTCTTAGTTCTTTGGCTCTTTACCGCAGGGGTTGCTTAAGTGCCCAGATCTCGCCCGCTCTCTGCCAAAGGCGCAACCTTCCAGTTTCCTGCACCTGCCCACTTACAAGTACCACTCCTTGCTTTATTAAAGTGCTGGTCAGAAAGGGGGCAGACAGTCCCTGGTGCTCATGGGGCACTGCGCGTCGCAGGAGGACGCCTGTGCGTTTCTTTAGTCGTCACAACCCAGTATTCTGAGAGCAGTCACTCTGCAACCCTTTGAAGTCGCACTAGAGCAGAAAGCTCCTATTGTTCTCAGCTCTAGAGGAAGGGATCAAACTTTGCCTCTGCAATTTGAAAGATTTTTTTTTTTTTAATGGTGGGGATGGGGGGGAAGGAGTTGCAATCTCATGCTCTCTAAATTAACTTTGAGACTTGGAGGGTCTTGCAGCTTAAGCTGCAGACCCAGTCACAGATGTCCTAAACAGGGGCTCTATCACGAATAGGCCCAGTGAGTTAGGTGGCAAAAACAAAACAACAAAAATACAAAAAAACAAAAATAGTGGGATCTCTGGAAACAGGGACTTCGTTTTGGAAAGTTCCCTCCACTGGAAATTTGAAGTTAATTTTAAGCTTAAACTTCAAAACTGAGTCCATCTAGCATGGATGGAGGAGTGGAATTCTAGATCTAGGAGGATCCTTTATTTTATCCTATTGGGTTCCCCCATTTGACGGCAGGAGGAAACCGTGCTTGCATGAAATGTGTCATGCCTGCACAGTGCTGTGAACTTCAGTAGCTGCTCAGTAACTGCTCCTCAGTGCTGGATGGCAGCATGAAATTCTGTGTACACGGTCATGTGCACAGTGATTGTGCTACAGAGCACACACATGCAGCAGGGACCCAGGAGAGTGCTGTGAGGCCTGGAAAAGGCAAGGGGCATTTATCAAGGACTGGGGCTTGGAAGAGCCTGTAGGACCTCTGTGGATTTTAATGGGGTGGACAGACAGGAAGGTGATGAAGGGGGGAAAGGAAAGGGAACTCCCCTTTCAGTGCTGAGCTGAATAAACATGGAAGATAAAGTTGTACATCTTTGATTTTGCTGGTTAGACAGGTTAGGGAAGACAGGGAGAGGAGCTTGGCCCTGATGCTATACGTAGTAGGGTTTTATTGTAGGCTCTGGAGCAGGTGAATTACAAGAATTCAATTCCATTTATTTTTGCTGAGAGCTTGGCAGGATAGACACAGATGCAGTCAGTTAG